CTGCTGCTGCTGCTGCTGCTGCTGCTGCTGCTGCTGCTGCTGCTGCTGCGTGCAGAAGGACTGCAAGGGCTAGCAGCCAAGAGCCAGCCAACAGGAGCCTCCAGCTCTTCTAGCACAGCAACAGCCCAGGCCAGACACACAGCAGTGGACAGGTAACAGAAGGGCTGATGGTGTGAAGGCAGAAACACGCCCAATGTGCTGGCGATTACGGTGGGGGTTCAATGGGAAGGGCGGAGACAGGGCTGCCGCTGGTGTTTGGAACCCAAGTCGGAGTCTCCATGTGTGAAGAGACAAAGACAATTAGAGCAGCAGGCTGCAGCAGGGCAGGAGTGGAAGACCCCCAGATTTTAAGCCTCCTGGGGCCAACACTTCCTCCAGGAAGCCCTGTCTTAACAAGCTGAAAGCACTGTGCTGCTCAGCACATGTACATGTGTCCGCACAGAACGTTCTCCACAGAGGAGCTGTCTCCTGAAGGACTCCTGGCTCACTCACACAGTACACACAGAGGGTACTCAACAAACCTTCGTGGCGCTATGCCAAGAGACCTGTACTGTGATGTTTTAATGTCTATCAACTCAAAACTTTTCTCTAAAACCTCTCAAAATGGCACTTGGACCTCATTAAACATGGAGCCAAAACTACCCTGCCTCAAATATGCAGGTTCTGGCCTGCCCCTACTTATTCACCTCATGAAGGAAAGGCTCCCACAGGAAGGCACTGGGTAGATGGCTTAGTCAGTAAAGAGTTTGTCTTGAACACATAACTCCCTTAACTCTATCATCAGGACCCATAGCAGGTGTACTGGTATGAGATTGTACTGTCATTGCTGGAGAGGTGGGGTCAGGCAGATCCCTGGAGCTCTCTGGCTAAGCCAGCCTCCCCTAATCAGCAAGGCCTTGGACCCAGTGAGATTCTGTCTCAAACACAAAGTGACAGCTCCTGAATAACCCAAGGTCAATCTCTGTCACACAGACACACACACACACACTCCACACATGTGAAAGGCCAGCCTCAGAAGAAGGGTGTCACCTTGCCAGTCCTTGTGTCCCAGGCTTTGATTTCAGAGCTGAAGCCGCCACATAAAAAGACGTTGTGATCTTTTGGATAGAATTTCACGGTGGTGATTCTGAAGTCACTCTGTCCACTAAATACTTGGGTTCCTGCAACACAGACAGACAAGGAAGAGTAAGAAAATACTCAGATCACAAGTATTTTAATGCAGAGATGTTCAGACAGCTCAGCAGGGCCCTATGTGGCCCAGTGTGGTCCTTTAGAAATATAACAAGGTTCGCTTTCATTTCCTGTTGAATTCCCTACCCCGAGACCCAGGGCTAGTGCGGGCAGCCGACCCCAGGACTCTGTGTGTGTATTATCTCATTTAAATTACACACCAACTAGCCCCAACAAGCTGAAACAGGCTGCTTAGGTAACACAGGAGATTGTTTATGCAGGAGTGTAAAAATCTACAAGCAGAGCTGACTGGGATTTATTTCAGGAGCCATCTTCCAATCCTTATAAAAAATAAAGATGGGCTTGTTAGAGTGCAGCAGGTGTGGCTGACCTGACATGCTGGGCCACAAATCACAGTGACCCGCACAACAGCCCAGCCACAGAATGGACATCAGCTGTGGCTCACTGGGGTCTCGCTAGCTCTACGGGACTCCAGACAGCCCTGGTCATTTCTTCTATCATCGCAAGCAGTTGTCAAGTCCCTGTGTGCACTGTGGTAAGTAACTGGCACATGCAGACACATACAGGCTGGGCAACAGCTGTCACTGTGGTTTTCTAGGGATGAGCAATAGAAACTTCAGAAGTTTCCATCACCCAGGGTGGTTAAAGCCAGCACGCCCTCCACTGCCCAGTATGCCCCGTGTAGTCCACAGCAGTGATGTGATTCTCATCTGTCATGCTTAATTTGCCCAAATGTGAACCAACAAATCAGACTAGCTTTAAGAAGCACCTCACAGGGAAGCACCTGGGTTTGGCTCCTGACACATCCCTAGGGGTCAGGTTCACACACCAAGGACAGCACCTGCCACCTGCCAATAACTCGGAGGAGGCTTCCCACAGAGATAGTACCGGTACTTTCTTGGCCAAGAAGGAAAATCTTGGCTGCCTCTGGCTACCAGGCTCTTTCACTGACCCAGGGCAAGGCAGAGCAGGGCACAGCAGCTGACAGCCCAGGAGCTAGGAAAACAGCTGTCAGGAAAATGTTTGCCATATAAGCACAAGGACCTGAGTTTAACCCCAAAACACACATACAGAGACTGAGCTTGGTGGCGCATGCTTGCAACCCCAGTACCAATCAGGGAGAGAGCTGAAGACAGGCAGATCCTAAGGCTTGCTTGTGAGACAGCCCTAGATCCCAGTGAGAGACCCTGTCTCAAAACACAAGGTGGAAGGCTCCCAATGGCACCCAAAGCTGACCACTAGCTCTCACCCACACATACGTATGCATGCACAAAGCTGGTGGCAAACACAGTGATAAAATATCAAGACCAGTGTGTCTGCGTCTAAGCCCTGGAAGGCTGTGTTTGCTCATTCTGGGCAGAAAGCACTCCCTGATGGCTTCCTCTGTCTGCTGACCCCATACGCTGAGTAAGAACCCAGCCAGCTCCATCTCGTCCGGTAAGGAAATGAAACTCATCAATCACGGCTTATAAGAGTTGCAGAGGGACAACACAGATCCAATGGCCAGAGCCACTGTCTCCAAGCCTACCCCATCCAGGACCTAAGCAGATGTCACTGTCATGCAGTGATTTGTTTATGAGTGACAAAATGCAGCAATGTTCCAATATAGCATCGACATGGTTTTTAAAGACTTTTTTTTTAATTGTGTATTTGTGTGTAATTATGAGTGTGTGTGTGTGTGTGTGTGTGTGTGTGTGTGTGTGTGTGTGTGTGTTTGAGTGTATGCCATGTGCATGCAGGTGTGAGCATAGGCCAGAAGAGGGAGTTGAGTTCCCTGGAGCTGGAGTTACAAGCAGCTGCTTGATATGGGCACTGGTCCTCTGAAAGAAGAGCATGTGCTCTTAACCACCGGGCCAACTCTCCAATTCCACTATCAGAATACTTTAAAATACCAAAAATAGGTATCTTACAAAATGAGGCAAAAATAAAGTAGCTAATTTTAAATATATCTTAATATGTCTTGTATTAAGAGCATTGAGCAACTTTTCTTTTTTTCGAATTTGGGGTGAATGTGCACGTGCCACAGCACACAGAGGTCGGTGGACACCTGCAGGGGTTGGGTCTCACCTTCAGCTATGTGTGTCCCCATCCCAGAGACTAAACTTGGTTCATCAGGCTTTGGCACAGGTACCTTTAGCTAAACCGTCCCGCCAGCCCATATTCATAACTTCCTTGAAATCATAAAAACCACGTGAGCTATAGCTATGGTGCTTTTAGTGGGAGCAACAGAACCAATACGCCTTCTCTTATCTAAATGCAGATGGCGTCCAGTGACCCGGGGCTTGAAAGCCATCCAACTGTAGTTTCCGTTTATCCATTGAACTCAATGAGGCTGACAGAGATACCTCCTGGGGATGGGCCAGGATGCAGGATGCTGTCCACTGACCACACAGGAGACATTCTCCACTTCCAGCTTCCAATGACACAAAGGACTTAGAACCCACTACCTCTGGCAAATACCAGCCCCTGCAACTACCAGAAGGCGCTATTCCTGTATTCTTATGTTTTTAACAACTCAGTTCAAAGTTGGATGAAATGTTCATATAAAGGGTTTTATTAAAGCGTCAGAAAACCACTGGTCTGAAGGTCATGGTGCAAACACTAGCTGGTTTATTTTTGTGTCCATCCCTCCTTTTGATGCTGGGAACTGACCTCAGGGCCTTAAACATGCTAGATGAACATTCTCCCACTGAGCTACACTTCTCATCCAAAGGAAAGTCTTCAATAGATGACACAAATCATTTTTGGCAACACCAAAACTAAATGAATAGATTTGTTTTCAGGTACCAGGGCATACTGGATAATAAAACTGTGCTTAATATGTCCAAGGTCCTTTGTCCAAATGCCAGCACAAAAACAAACAAACAAACAAACAAAAACCAGTCTGTTTCAAATCATTCTCTCAAGAGCGAAAAAAATAGTGATTATTAATTTTTAAATGGGAGGGGCAGGGAGATGCCTCAGAATGTGGAGTGTAAAGTGCTTGTCATATCAGCACTAGGATTTGAGTCCAGTTCGCCAACACCAACACAAAAAAGTTCAGAATGGCAGCATATTCACAAAATCCTGGTGCCAGGGATGGGGGGAAGGGGTAGAAATGTGGGGTTCCCTGGGTTCACTGGCCAGCCAGCCTAGCTGAATCAGTGGGCTCTAGGTTCAGTGAGAGACAATGTCTCAAAAATCTAGGTAAAAAACAAATGAGAAAATGTCAGTATCAGTCTCTAGCCTCTACATACATACATCTGTACACACACACACACACACACAGCAACAGAGTCTTGCTGTATAACCCACAAATACTCCCACTGAACTTTTAATGTTCCTGATTCAGTCTCCTTTGCATAGACAAACCCAGCCTGGGCAAAACTTGTTTTGTTTTTACTTTTGTTTTGTTGGATTTTGAGACAAAGTCTCATTCTGCTGCTCAGGCTGGAATAGAACTCTGTATGTAGCTGACCTCTCCCGGCTATCCTCCTGCATCAGCCTCTCACGTGCTAGAATTAGAGGCATAAGCCATCGTACCCAGCTTGTGCAAACTTCCCAGAGCACTGCCGAGGTCACCCTGCACCTGTCCCTGCGCCTGAACCTACCCAACATGACCCTGCCCTTGCCCTTTGCCTTGAAGGTGACTAAGAGCACTGATTTGTTTCTTCTATTCTCTTTTAGGAGTCAAGGATTGGCAGTCACTTGTCATCAGAGTTAATACTTGGCTTTTTATAAAACAATATACCTGTCCCTCTACAAGCTGCACATGGGCCCCTCAGCTACCCAGCAAGGTGGACAGTGCCTACAATCTGCCCTCCAGTAGTTCAGGCATTAAACAAGAATAGAAATGGACCAAGCTAGGAAGAGCCACCGACACAAACCAAATGCTTGAGAGGAGGGCTTGTCAACCTTTGTCACTCACTGCCCCTTTTCATCCAAGGTATCTTCATGCAACCTCAGGTATACAGGAGGTACAAAGACCCTGTATTTACTGATAGTAATTATTCAAAATAATTGTTAAAAATTTTCTTTGATATATATATATATATATATATCAAAGAAATTATATATATATAATTTATATATATATATATACTATTAGTAAATTTAGTAAATTTCACTATTTACTAAAGGTGAGAACAAATCTGTATTCTAATTAGATGAATTACTTGTTTGTTTTACATGAGGAATGAAATCTGAGTACATGTGGCAGGTCTGGTACTTCCAGAACTCAGGAAGCAGGACAGGATAGCCTGGGGTACGCAGTTAAGTTTCAGGCCAGCCTAGGCTACAGAGTGAGGCCCTAACAAAAATATAAATAAATACACAACAAAAACAAACAAGTGTTATAACAGGATATATCATATTTTCAAAGTTTCTCAAAACTGATGGGTGTTGGGAGAGACTGAGAATGACACTTTGCATGAATCCATTAAAAAAAAAAAAAATGGCAGAAGTATGTCTAGAGCCGCTTCAGAAATTGTTGGAAATTCTGTCCCAAGCCAAACTTTAATCAACACTTTTTAAATGAAGTTGATTTTTAAGAGCAATTTTAAAGCCAAACACTGTAACACAATGCAACCCAAAGGTTCCTAACCTGATGCCTACATGCAGAGGAATGTGAAGTATTAAAAGTCCTTAGTTCCCAGGTACTGTTACATTTCTGCAAGAGTGAAAAACTTGTTTCATCACACACAGCCTTGGGTGCAAGCTGAGGCACTTGGGCCCCATTAGCATGACACTGCCTGGTGGCATTCACAGTGCCTAATGCCTACCACATGTGCTCAGACTGAGTTTACAGTGAAGCCGCGAAATGCAGCATGGGTGAACGCGGCGAGGAATATCTTGGATCTATGAGGCATTTGAGCTTGAGTTAATTTTTGGTCACTGCGCTTTCAGAAACCCTTCACAGTTGCTGAGTTTTCCACAACCCCACATGCAGTTACACGACCCTGTGGAGCGGTGATCACAGGTTTAGAAGCTG